GAAAGGAAACTCAGGGAAAAATGCAGAGATTGGGTGATGCACGACAGCTCCTTGGAGAAGCGTTCGCTGCTGTTCTTGTAGAGAGCAGCGAACTCTGGAGACACTTTCAGGTTTCTTATGGCAAGCTGGAACACTTTGGCAAAGCTGTCATTGTGCACTGTTCCACCCTCCATGCCCATGGAATCAAAGAGGGCCTTGCAGGGGCTCCTGGCTAAGGACTCCTTTAGAGTGACATTTTCAAACAGCATCTCAAGTGCTATGTGGAGCACGTTTTCAAAAGAGCAATTCTGGAGGGTCCCATCACCATTGTTGCTGTTCTCAAGGAAAGGACTCAAGGCTGAATGCAAGAACTCCCAAATTTTTGCCTCCAGAGAAGCATTGGGCTGTAAGGAAGACTGGCTGAACTGCTGCAGCAGTAAGTGTGAGAAATCATAGACAATGTCCATTTTTTCTGCAAATGTTTTGTTTGAGTTGGTGTCATGCAGAACTTTCATCCCTGCTCTCCATATTTCAATCAGTCTCTGGGTATAGTTACTGTAAGTATCAAATAACAGGGTGATAATTTCAAGCTCACTGATATTATACCTTTTCTGCAAACCTTTTAAAATTGAGACACTCCTTTGTATGGCCTGCAAGTACATGGAGATGTTGGTTCCTCTGGAGTGCTCTTCCCCATACAGCTCAAGCATGGTAGATGCAAAGTTTAGCAGCTGCTTCAGTTCCTCATCAAAGGGAAGACTGGAGTACTTTTCCATGGTATTGAACTGATTTTGCAGCATATCTAGAAGAGACTGGGGAGTGAGACTGTCTGTACTATTCCAGTTGACAGACTGGAGACCTTCAGCAATACGCCAGAGAGCCCGCAGTTCATTTCTCTGCCTTACATGAGGGAAATCCAGGAGTTTCTGCATTACCTTAGACAAAGAAGAGATCAGCAGATAATGATCACTGGTATTCACCTCTGCCATGACACTAAGAAGTTCCCCAAGGGACAAGAGGTGTTCTGCAAAATTTTCAGACGTTCCAGGGGCCAACAAGAAGTCAGAAAATAATGATGACACTTTTTCATCTATGCTGAGATAATCTGCAATGTCTTCAAGCAAGATTGGATCAAGCACAATCATTTTGATAACCTCCCATGCATCCTCTGTATTAAAATGAGTCCTGTTTGAAATTATCTCATTCCAAATCACTGCAGCCATAGTCAAAACATCCTGATTTTCTTTTCCATAGGGATTAGAGTAGAAGAATTCTTCACCACCATCTTCATACAGAGGAAGTATTTCTTGAAATATTCTCTCAAAGTCCAGCATGCTGTCCATGGAAGAAGTTGAATTGAAAAAGAGTTTTGATGAACCATACATATCATTCAGATCTGAGGATTTCATTCCTTCACTGGAATTATGAAAGATCTGATGTACAAATGTTCTTCCAGGAGCTACCCCAAAGTCCACAAGGATTAGAGCTTTCTTCATAACTTCCAGGAGTTTCACATATTCACCCACTTCTGTCAGGTTCCATTTGGAGGTCAGCACGTTGCCAGTGGCGCGCCACAGCCGCGAGAAATGTCCCCACTCGGACTGCATGGAGGCATCTCTGCCCACCCGGAGCAGTTCATACCTGCTGCTGTTCCTCATGGAAGCAGCAGGTAACAGATGGGAAAACACAGGCAGCCTATGCCACTCTGCTGAGCTGCCAGAGAAATTTAGGGAGTCCAGCACTGTTTCATTCAGCATGGCAGGAATCAGCAGGCTCAAAAGCTGAGATAGAAGCACATCTTGGACTGGGATGGGGCAGGAGACATTACTCTGCAGCAGCCCCTCTGTGACAGCAGTCAGAGCTCTCGCCTTCTCCTGCACCCAAGAATTTTCCAGCTCAGACACAAGGTTTAATTTGGAAAGGAAACTCAGGGA